CTAGATTGGGCCAGACACATGACATCATCTGATCTGCTATTCTCTCACATGAAATCACAGGGACTGAACTACAGAACTGGCAGGTTAACCTCCTAGGACATGGCGTCCATATATGTGGACATTACATTTTAGTCTAGTCTCTTATACTGCCACTGTTCTATTGAAATTTAAAATTATTGTCCTCTTATGTGGATCTCATTTTTCTCAGAAACAAAAATCAGGTAAAAAAAACAAACAAAACCTTTTTAGGGAATTCTCCGTTTTTACGTTCATCAGGAAATTAAAAACGCATGCCATGAAAGAGTTTGGGTCTTAGGAGGTTAAAGGATTGTGAGGTTAAAGTGAGCCTCTGACAAAAGTTCAGGGCTGCTGTGCATGTGTGAGAACAGTCTATGCATCAAGCAAAAAACAAACAAACCAACAACTAAAAAAACAAAAAACAGTTGATTGTGGTTTTATGTGCTTTCACTTCCTGTGGTACTGTAAGTGTTGTATAACTCATCATAACCCACATGTTTTTCCCCTCATTGTGATGCTTTTATTTGTCTTTGTGCTGTGATGACTGGCTGCTGGCTGTCGCTTCATTTTTTGACCTTTGGGCGTGGAATCACTCGGCCTATAAACTTAGTCTGGATATAAAACACTGGGACAAGACTAAACTTTTTCCTTCTTATTCAAAGTATAGTTTGAGCTTTGTTTTCATTGTTGGACTAAGCTCTAGAGCAGTGGTGGGCAACTCAAGGCCTTGAGGGCTGGTGTCCTGCAGGTTTTAGATGTGTCCTTGATCCAACACAGCTTATTCAAATGGCTCAATTACCTCTACAACATGTCTTGTAGTTCCCCGGAGGCCTGGTAATTAACTAATCATTTGATTCAGGTGTGTTTACCGAAGGTGAGATCTAAAACCTGCAGGACACCGGCCCTCGAGGCCTGGAGTTGCCTACCCCTGCTCTAGAGTAAGGTTAAGATCAACATGAGCCTTTGTGTCCTTACAGCGTGAGGAGGAGCGCTGCCTGAGGCGAACTGGGATAGGATGGCTGGATTCAGGTGGAGGGACGGCGGACGTCCGGTTTTCCTCTGCTACAGTGTAGCGTCGCTGTCGCACGTCTGCATCCAGATGCGAGTTTGGAGACTTGGGACGCATTTTCACACCTGCAAACACGTTTGTGTTCCCATCTCTGCCACAAGGAGCAGGAAACTGAGCATTACAGGCATAAAAAAGAAGAAAAAAAAAGATGATTCTGAAATCCTGAAGCTTGAGTGAGGTACTTACAGCGGGACATATGGTGCTTCTGGGGGAGGAGGGATATACAAATCCAAGATGGTCGTCTTCCCTCTCTTTCCAGGAGCGTCTGAGGTTTCTGACTCTCGTGATTTATAAAGACTTGGCGCTCCCTGAGAGGTCTATTAAAGAAAAAAGACAAATTTAAGCCCTTTAATAAAGGAAACAAAAGAATCACATGTAACTAACACGTTTGGTTTGTTTCTTCTAATCTGTGCTTTTGGTTGCTTCTGTGTCTCAGCACACAGCAGATGATGACTTTGTGAACTGTGTTTATCGTCAAACAAAAGCGAAAGTTGTTCCAGCTCAGAGGAGAAAGAGCAGAGGAGGCTTTTCTGTTTCCTTCCTCACTTTCAAGTTCTCACAAACACAGGAACTTCATTCAGCTCGTTTTCTGTTTCACCTGCACTTTGAAAAACACGTCTAAAGGACGTTTCGATGCAGCCACTTTTAACCATGCCAGACTTAATCCAGTCTGGCGATACTGTGAATGTTCCTAATTGTGAAAATTCCAATGAAAGACCAAAACCAGCAAAAACTGAGTGGTTTCATTACCACTTTTACACCCATTTACACAAACATACACACACTTCCCTTAAAAGGGCTCATTTCATCGTTAAATTCATTTCATTGATTGTACTATTTGTATTTTTGTATTTCCTTCTGATATCTGT